ACTGTTCAGTAAACCATTCGGCCCGCAATTTAGACTGGATTTTAGATTTTGGCCCCTTCTCTGATTGAGTTCGACACCCCTATAATAGAGGAATATGCAAATTAGCCGGGATGCTGTAACATCACAACCAAACAGCAGGGGCCTGAGGCTCCATGGTGTCTGGATGGGGTGAGGGACCTCAGGCCATGCCCCCTGCCCTTGGGTCTTGATGGCTACCTCAGGCTGTGCCACTTCCCCGGAAGGGTTTGATGGGGGACCTCAGGCTATGTCTCCCACCCTGGAGGTGGGCCCCCTGTCCAGGAGCTGGGCTGAGAGACCTCATGCCATGGCCCTCATCTTAGCGCTGGGGTAGGACCTCAGACTTTGCTTCCTGCCTGGTGCGGTTTGATGGGGGACCTCAGGCCACAGCCCCCACCTGGTGCAGCTTGATGGAGGACCTGAGACTGTGCTCCCTGACCCGGTGTTGGGCTGGGAACCTTAGGCTGCGCCAGTGCGCGTGCCGCTCCCCCCCCCCCCCTGCCCAGAGGGGCTTGAGGGGTGGGGGCGGCCAGGTCTGGGTCTCCTGGGTTTTTGAAGTGTGTGCGGGTGTGTGTGTGTGTGTGTGTGTGTGTGTGTGTGTGTGGTGGGTGGGGACCTGACTCTAGGTCCCATAGCACGTCCCAGACTCTGATAGGAAGGAGATTTTCATATACATTTTACTAATCTTATTTTATCTCTGACACTTCTATTGTAGAGAAAGGGCAAATAGCAATATTAAAAATTTCCTTTATTTCCCTTTTAATGTGTACAAATTTCATGCACTGGGCCACTAATTTATTTTAAAAAGTTTCATTAAAATATTTTATTGATTTTTTTCACAGAAAGGGAGAGGGATAGAGAGTTAGAAATGTTGATGAGAGAGAAACATCGATCAGCCGCCTCCTGCACACCCCCGACTGGGGATGTGCCTTCAACCAAAATACAATACATGCCCCTGACCGGAATCAAACCCGGTACCTCTCAGTCCACAGGCCGATGCTCTATCTACCGAGCCAAACCGGTTTCAGCAAAAGTTTCATTATTTTGACATAAGTACATATGTGCTTTATGTTTTTCATTATTTAATTACTACAAGTAAAGGTTAGGAATTATCTTTTAAATTTTATTTTACTGTTTCACTTCATTTCTGCTGTGTATGTGCTCCATGTGAGTGACGTAGGTGCTATGGAGGTGTGTTCAGACTTAAAAACGGTGAGAATCGTGTTATGTCGCACCGTAGGAATGGATCTTTAACATAACCTGAGGACCTACTGTAAAAAACTAGAAACACTGTATAGCTTTCAAATTATTAGAGGGGAAAAATGGTTATAGAAATTTTATTAAAGTAAAATGGGAGATGAGAAAACTTGGCAAACAGCCTCATGAGTATATAAAAAGTTGATTTATGACAAAGTTGCCGTGGGATTAAAAATTGTGGGGGAAGAATTTAATAAATGGCTTAGTATGATCTGTGACCATACTGTAAGAAGTAGACCCTACTTCATGCTATACACAAAAGTAAATTTAATTTGTGATAAAACTTAAAGGTAAAACAAACTTTTAGAATTAAATATATGATAATCTTTACAACATTTGGAATAGAAAAGAATTTCTTGAAGTACAAAAAGCATAAATTATAAAAAAAACATTGAAAAAGTTGGTTACATTTACATTTTAAAACTTCTGGTTAATAAAGACTATAAACAAAGAGGAAAAACACACAAGATAGCCTTGGAGAAGCTATCAGTTTTTATAATTGTTTTTAAATATATATTTTTATTGATTTTTTACAGAGAGGAAGAGAGAGGGATAGAGAGTTAGAAACATCGATGAGAGAGAAACACTGATCAGCTGCCTCTTGCACACCCCCTACTGGGGATGTGCCAGCAACCAAGGTACATGCTCTTGACCGGAATCGAACCCAGGACCCTTCAGTCCGCAGGCCGATGCTCTATACACTGAGCCAAACCGGTTCGGCAAGCTATCAATTTTTAAAAAATATATATTTTATTGATTTTTCACAGAGAGGAAGAGAGAGGGATAGAGTCAGAAACATTGATGAGAGAGAATCATTGATCAGCTGCCTCTTGCACACCCCCTACTGGGGAGGTGCCCACAACTAAGGTACATGCCCTTGACTGGAATCGAACCCAGGACCTATCAGTCCGCAGACCGACGCTCTACCACTGAGCCAAACCGGTTTCAGCAGATATCAATTTTTATCTGATATCATTTGCCTTCAGCCTGAAGAATTTCATTTAGCATTTCTTATAGTGCAAATCTGTTGGTGACAAATTCTCTTAGTTTTCTTCTATCTGAAATGTTTTTGTCTTCATTCTGAAGGACATTTTTGCTGGATACAGATACTGTGCTGACAGCTTTCTTTTTCAGCATTTTAAAGACAATACTTTTGAAAAAAATTTTAAATGATTCTTTGCTTTATCAAAACCTCAAGCCTCCAAGAAATTGCTGCTTAAATCAAGTTTTCTTCTAATCACAAAGATATTTGTCTTCTCCGAAGTTTACATTCATATTTTCTTTCATAATGATTCCAACTTATTTTTCCCAAAGTTAACTCTTCAGCATTATTGTTTTCTTTAATTTATTAAAAAGATGTAGTTTAAATTGATTTTTTAGAGAGACGAAGGGAGAGGGAGAGAGGCATATCTGTTGGCTAACTCCTGCATGCACCGGGATCTAGCCTGCAGCCTGGGTATGTGCCCTGACCGGGAGTTGAACCAGTAATCTGTCAGTGAGTGCACAGGATGACACCCAACTGAGCCACCCCAGCCAGGGCTTTAGCATCATTTTAAAAAAATATATATTTTTATTGATTTCAGAGAGAGAGAGAGAGGGGGGAGAGAGGAACATCAATGATGAGAGAACCATTGATCAGCTCTGTTAGCATGCCCCACACGGGATGAAATCTGCAACCTGGGCGTGTGCTCTTGACTGGGAATTGAATGGTGACCTACTGGTTCGTTGGTGGACACAACCACTGAACCACGCTGCTGGGTTTCAGCATCATTTTCTACATCACCATTCATCTTTGAAGGATGAAACTTCTGTGTGGGACGTGTTTTTGGAAATGAGTAACGGGATTAGCCAGATCAATCTGTCAAGCAGTGAGGTAACATTGTCCAGTCCTGAATACATTTTGAGTCAAATTACATTTTGTGAACATTATGCCAATACCATTAGCCACTGTGTATATTGTAGTGGGCAAAGTTGCCTGTACTTTTTTTTTTTTTTTTGCTATGCAGAAACATTTAAAAAAATATTTTTATAGATTTTTAGAGAAGAGCCAAACCAGCTGACGCTCTATCCATTGGGCCAGAAACGTTTTTTTATACTTATTCACATATTTTTAAATTGGAAAATATTTCTTTTCTTTTTTTTAAAATATATTTTATTGATTTTGTACAGAGAAGAAGGAAGAGAGAGAGCTAGAAACATCGATGAGAGAGAGTCATCGATCAGCTGCCTCTTGCACACTCCCCACTGGGGATATGCCCGCAACCAAGGTACATGCCCTTGACCGGAATCGAACCCGGGTTCCTTCAGTCCCCCAGCCGACGCTCTATCCATTGAGCCAAACTGGTTTCAGCGGAAAATATTTATTTTCAATATTTTGTACGTAGTATATACAATTTAACATTCTTTCCCTTAAAATAAGGATTACTTTTTGTTGAGATGAAAAAACATTAATATAGTCACAGTTGTCAGCATTAGAAATAATTGGTTAGCTTAAAATTCTGACCCTATGGCTTTTGCTAAATCAACTTACTGTGATCATTGTTTCTCAACTTTCACAATTTGAATGAGAATGGTTGGCAATTGTACTGTATTTTAATTTTAAAAGACTTTCACATCCATTATACCATTTAATCTATCCAATAACTATGGGTAACAGGGCAGGTTTTATTACCATTTTACAGATAAAGAACCCGAGGCTTAGGGAGATTAAAAGATTGGTCCTAGAATGAATATGTGGTAGAACTGAATCTTCTATCTAGTTTTAACTTCGAGTTCAGGCTCAGCTTGTCTGCCCACTCTAGATGATTCTTTAAGTACATTCTTATTAATATGCACGATGCCCCTTCCCATCCTCTTCTCTTTCTACGGGCTTTGGTTTCCCAACAAAGGGGCTTCATAACCAGTGTTCCCCCTTTCTGTGTGGTTGTGAGGGAACACATGTGGGCTCCTCCAGTCTCCAATCTTGTATTTTCCTTTTTCTGTGGCTCTTCCAGCCTCGCCAGCTACGGAAATCTCCTTTCTGAGCCCCAACTTCGGGAGTCTTCCCACAGCCCCCTGGCAGTGGGACCTCCCATCCTAATCACCAGCAGGAGAGCCCATCAGGGAGGGGTGGCAGAGGGCAGGAGCGTAGCACGCCGGGAAGCCATGCTGAGGGTTACTTCTGCATTTCCTCCCTTGCGGTCCTCGGGAGCATCCTCGCCGCCCTCCGGCCCGGTTCTCTCCAGCCCGCCCCGGATCCGCCTCCCCCCGCTTCCTCCCGGAGGCTGAGACGGAGCGTGGGACGCACCTGTCAGGTCACCCGGCGGAGGCGCCGGGGGCTGCTCGCGGAGCAGGATTTACAGGCCCGGGGAACGCCGATGGGAGATCCTAATGGTCGGGGACTCCGGCACTTTAAGAGGCTTTTCTCTGGGAAATACCCGTCCCCTCCGTGCGCCTTATGAATGGAAATACTCCTCCCCCGGTCGAGCCCATTTTCCCATTTCACCAGGAGCCGCAGCTCGCACTCTGCTTTCGGTCTCCCCGCCCACAGCAACGCGGGCAGCTCCAGGAGGGGACGGACAGGAAGCCTTTGGCCGCCTATTAAATCCCACCCATTTCTCCGGGGGCGATTTCCTAACCTTCCGGGACCGAATTCTGCAATTTGATGTGCGTTTTGTCCGAATGGTAGCGACACGGGCCTAAGGGAGGGGGAAAGCGAGGGGGTGGGGGGTGGGGGGTATGCGTTCTTTTCCTCGCAACATCGCTGGCGGAGCGAGGGAGCTCACACGACACAGATTTTTGGGCAAAGCCTTTCCATCTGGACAGCACCATGTCCACCAAAGCGGAGCAGTGTAAGTAGCAGCCGGCCCGGCGTTCTGGCCCGGCCTCCAGCTGGGAACTATTGCAGTGGCGGCGTTTGCGGCTGCCGGGAGACCTTGGCATCGTGTGGTGCGGGGGTGGGGGCTGAGGTTGGGGCGGGTGCGGGGTGGGGGCTGGAAGCGGTGGTGGGGGAGGGTGGAAGTTAACGGCAACGCGGCGCTGTCCCCGGTGCTGAAACATAATGCAGCCTGCGTGGGGCTTGTGGAGGGGTTTTCACAAGACTGAAAAGACCCTGCGAAATGAAATTAAAATGGGGTCATTCTCGCGGGGGAAAAAGAAGAGGAGGTCTCATATCTTTCAGATAAACATTTCGGTGTCTCTTGTTGGAGTGGGGGAAGGGGGCAGCGGCACATCAGGGGCGGGGAACTGTCAGTGCAACCAAAGCCGGCCTAGCCTTCTGAGCATGCCCAGTTCTCGGCGCTGGAGCCATAGGGGAGTTTGTCTGCAGTTTCCACTTGGGGTTGGAGAGGCTAGAAGGGACGAAAAAGGGAAGGGGGCTGGGGAGAGCCAGGAGCCTGGCAGGATCCAGTGTGAGGATAATCAGCTCAGGAAAACCAGCATATGCTAGAACTAAGCACAGTTATGGGTTAAAGCCGGAATAGGTGCGTGCAGGAAAGTGAAAGGGTCCCTGGGGAAATGATCTAACCCTTTGTAGGGCAGCTCACACAAACTATAACAAATAACAGGAGGATTTTTAGTTGTTCCAGTAATGACTGATTGTGTGTTTGATTGAAAACAACCTGCTAACTCCTTGTGGAAAGAAGAAGTTTCTAATATGCTCCCTGTAGTCTTTTATTGCAGTGTGCTTTAGTAGGCCTTCAGTATGCACTTGGTAGGCTGATTAATGCGAAACCTTTTCCTGAGTGCAGTTGACGGATTCAGGTACTTAAACTTCTGGCTGCTTTTTTTTTTTTTTTTTTTTTTTTAAATTAAGCAATGTGTTTGAATAAAAAAAATATATCTAACCTTATTCATCTAGTTCATCTACTTCTTTCAAAGTAATACACAGTTATGTTGATATTGTCACTACTTTAAAGTCTTTGTAATTCTTCTTTGGAATGACTATTAAAGCCATTCTAGGAGAATTTGTGTTTACCCAAAGCAGTAGTCTCATTATTTGGGGGCAGTAGCATGTATGTGATAAAATGCAATCTGTCACTTATTCACCAGCTAGATTAAGTGAACTGAAAACTAAGGAATTCCAAGATTGATGGTTCAGTAGAGATTGACAATACACCCTTACCATCTAGTATTTATACCTTTTTGCAATGTTTTATTTCCTTATCTGTAAACCTGGGGTAACAATGCTGATGGGGTTTTTATAATTAGAAATGAGAGAATACATATACATGAAAGGTTGAGTAGTGAGCCTAGCATATAGCAAGTTCTCAATAAATGATGGTTATATTACTGACAGTTATTTCCCACTTAATAATCCATCTCTTCTAAATAGGAAGTTCTTTTTTATTTTTATTTTTTTGCTTATCTCCAGAATTTAATTATAAACCTCAAAAATACAATTTGCTTCTATGGAGGCTTTCAAAAAAATTGCATGCAGAATGTTTTGAGTAATGACAACATACTTGGAATCAATGTGGATCTTCCCACTTGAGGCTATCACACTCTTGAAGGTTTTATTCCAGTGCAATCGTTAAAAGAAACCCACCACTTGGCATTTGGTTTTATAGTTACATATTACATAAGTAATTTCAGGTCAAAGCCAGTGAGTATTACTTTCCTCTTCCTGTGTTTTCTTTTCCTTGTTATATTTTGAGATGCACTGGATGCTTTTTGTTGTCTTTTTTCTGGACAGTTAATGCCACGATAAATAAAACCTACATGTGGATCCAGTTATGTAGTACCAGTAGTGTATAGTTAAGTAGCTATTTTATTGTTTGTAAAACAGTTTTTTTTTAAAATCTGTAGATGATGGAAAGGACACCATGTGGATTTGAGTTTTGCATGGCCCTTTTGATTAACTGTGAGACACTGGGCAATTAATTTAATAGGTTTGTGCCTCTTTCAGAGTTTTCATCTACGACGTGAGAAATAGTAGCAGCAGCTACTTTTGTTCAAACCTAACGGTTTGGAGGGCAAATGAGGTAAATGAGAGTACGCTGTAAAAAGGATAAGGATGCTTTGGGTGTTTTTAAGTATCTTTATTTAGAGTGAGGGTAGAGAACAATTTCTTTTTCTTTTACATGCATGAACAGGAGTGGGTTGACACTCTAGTGCACATTATAAACTTGAAAATAGAGCAAACACATAAAAGACTTCATAGCTGATGTTCATGAAGGGTGAATACTTTGTAATAAAGAAAAGTTGCAGGTCCGTGGTATTTTAGCTTTGGACTCGGTAGGAGTATGATTAAGGGGAAAGAGAAAGAGAAGGAAATGCCATGAGACTTTTCCTTTCTAATGGATGTGAAGCCTGCTATTGGATTTTTCTCTTCTACTGGATGGGAGAGAATGAGAGAATTCATTACTCCTCTGCATTCAGGAGGTGTATAGTGCCACTTGCCTAAGTACCAGAAGGGGAGAATTAGATTTAATATAATGTCAAATATTATTTTTGTTCCTCTTCTTCTTGAGGCCTCTTGATTTAGGTAAAATCTCACTGGTACAGGAAGTAGACATAGTTTGGTTGAACCAGCAAGAGGAAGTAATTGCCTTTCAACCCAAATTACGTGATTTACCTTGAAATGTAATGTATCGTGGATATGTGAAAAAGATTTTGTTTTTATGTAGCGGTATTTCCTTTTATGAAATAAGTGTAGTAATAATGATGAAAGAGAGGCTAATTTTAGCAAATGTATAGTTTGGAGCCTGTTTTTATGCATATGATCTGTTTCCAATGCTGTATGTAGAACCATATAACAGAAGGTGAAAGCTTCCTAGCAATTTCTCAGGCAATTGCGCTAGAGTTAATTTTTTTCCCCACCGAGTGCTTCTTTTTCTAACAAAATTCACTGTAGTGAAAATGTTTGTGTAGCTGATATAGAATCTGGAATGATAAAAATAAGAATTTATAGTTCTTTTATTTGGAATTCTAAAGAGGAGCCCAAGTCTCCTGCACCCCCAGCTTTTTCCATCTTCTAAGAGTTAAAATTGACCCATCTGGAGTACTTTGGATGTATGCTTCCAAAAGCAGCTTGCTTTTGACAGCAGCAGAATTAAGAGTTGGGGTTCCAGAATCAGTCTGCTGCCTGGGTGTGAATCCTGGCTCTGCTTCCTAGTATTTGTGTGACCTTGAACAAGTTAAGTCAACCTCTGTAAGCCTCGAATGCATTAATATATGAAATGGGGATAGTCATTATTGTTGTGAAGTTTAAATGAGAGGAACTAAGAAAAGTGCTTAGCACAGAATCCTGGCACATAATAAGGAGTTATAAATGTTAGCTATTATCATTATCATTATCATCATCATTAAGTATCAAATCTTGTGCTTGCTGCTATATTATAAATTTGGAGCTAGCGCCCCAGAAAAATATTATTTAAATGGGACATAGACTATTGAACTTTTTTTTAAATTTAAATTTCTCTTTTCCTTGTCTCCAGGTCTCCTCTACAGCAATTAGCCTAACCCATTTTTGGTGTGAGGCTTGACTTGGTCTATTTTATTTTATTTATTTACTTTTAAAATATATTTTATTGCCGAGACCGGTTTGGCTCAATGGATAGAGTGTCGGCTTGGGGACTGAAAGGTCCCGGTTTCGATTCCGGTCAGGGGCATGTACCTTAGTTTCGGGCATATCCCCAGTGGGGGGTGTGCAAGAGGCAGCTGATCGATGACTCTCTCTCATCGATGTTTCTAACTCTCTATCTCTCCCTTCTTCTCTGTACAAAATCAATAAAATAAAATAAAATTTTAAAATATATTTTATTGATTTTTCACAGAGAGGAAGGGAAAGGGATAGAGAGCCAGAAACATAGGATGAGAGAGAAACATTGATCAGGTACCTCCTGCACCCACACCCACTGGGGATGTGCCTGCAACCAAGGCACATGCTCTTGACTGGAATCAAACCTGGGACCCTTTAGGCCACAGGCCAACACTCTATCAACTGAGCCAAACTGGTCAGGGCAGACTTGGTCTATTGTAAACAAAACATTTCTAAGGCATGAACTGTCTATCCATCACCTTTTGTATTATGATAACAGTGTAGCAGCTGGTAAACATAAATCAGTTATATAAATATCCATCAAAATGTTTGTCAAGTTTGGATATTAAACTACTGATAATTTGAGCATAAACTCAGAATAGCCAATGATAGAAATGTAAATGTATGCTATTTTTAATGTATTTATCCCACTCAACATACTTCTCTCAAGTAACTAAATATCTTTTTAATTACATCAAAAACCAAACATTTTAAAGAGTACAGCTAATTAGCAATATGATTTGAAGTTGAACTTGGCCCTCTCCTATACATGTTTAGGGACTGTGCTTGGGGAAATCAATCAAAATATTTTTTAAAATTTTATGTACATTATATGGTAGTATTATTAAAATAGAAAAGTACTTCTCCTTTGAATAGCACTGTAGCCTGTACTTGTTTAAAAATCTTTGCACAATGTTGCTAAATTCTTATAGATGAAACTCTGGTTTTATTAATATTTTATTAAAATATTAGAGTATATGTTATTAACCATATTTGTGCTAGCAAAAAGAGTGCATGAGTTTTACTCTTGTCTTACATGATTTCTCTGCATCATTTGACACTACTTTCTGCATTCCTTATTTAAACTCTTTTCTTTCTCTTTTGACTGTTCCTAGTGAGATTTTTTTTTAGTGCTACTTTCTTCTTGCACTTTATAAACAGGATCCTGTCATTAATCCTTTCTCACTCTCTTTTTAAAACCCCACAGACTTTTGCTCTTGTACACTCTCTTAACAGTTATCATCTCTTTGTGGATGACATCCAAATACAATTTTCTAGTCTAAACATGCCTCTTGCACTATAAGCCTCTAG